CGACCAATTAGCGAAATCAAACTCCTAAATCAATCAATTTCCTTCCTATCATTCTAGGAGAGGTTGGTGCTCATGATTTACTGAAATTTTGGATCTGATTTATGAGCAATTTATTATTAGAGACCTTTATAAATTATCAAAATTTTTCTTAAATACGACCCAACAACAAAACTGCCAAGTCATTAACAAAAAAGGCAGATCTAAGCCAAATTACATTGTGTACAAAGATAAAGATTTGATGTGTTTTATTAACCTGTTTTTAATGTCAACTAAAATGGACTTCCCTTCTGTGATGGTACTTCTTTTGCTATTAGTTTTTAATTCACCAACCCATCACCTACCCTAATTCAAAGAGAAAAGAAAACCATTCAAGTTTATGGTATGATTGGTTTCATATTTTAAGTGCGTTCATTAAGGCTCCAAACTCCACTCCATTCACCAGCGAACTAATTACTGAAAGTTAGAGATGTGTGAACAATATAACCTCAAAAGGTGATAATTGAAACTCATTTCTCTTTCCCATTATCAATAAACAACCTATTCATGTGTACCCTTGATTAAGTGCTGTACTTTTTTTTTCCTGCCCAGCATGTCTAACATCGCATCAATTAACTTCTGAAATATCAACGAACGAGGCGCCAATGTACGGCCGACTGGTTGACGACAATATCATTGAATTTACAGGTCGGATGACAGCTTTAGCAGTCGAGTCTTTACTTTCTCTCATGTCTCTTGTGTATTGAAGTGTCGTGTTTACATGTCATTTAGCACTTAACGGCGATGATTTTCTCTTTTGATCAAACATTGTTAATTATCACTCAAGGCCGTTTCAATGAATGTTCACCTCAGCAGGTCTATTTTGCTCTTATGCATCTTTACGGTCGCACCTCTTATAGACCTTTGTTTCTTCAATACAAACGTGTCATCGTTAGTTTCAAAAGGCATTAAGTGTGCTTTCGTATATTTTGTATTATTATATGACATTATACTTTCCTGTTTAGTAGATATTTATGAACAGAAAAAAGGGATGATTTTTAATTAACAACAACCAAAGTGGAAATGAACATGCGAAACTCGAAATATTGTATTAATATCTAGTAAAATTAGGAGAGTAAAGAGATTGAAAAAAGAGACAGTAAAAATAATTAAAGCTTCAATTTGAAAAAGAGCAAATGCAGAAAGGCACAATGTGAGGGGATGAAAACGATGAATTGTGGATGGAATAGAAAGACTGAAATTTATTACAAAATAAGAAAATAAGGAAATTATATTAATAAGGGTGATTACTTAAAATAATGAAATAAGTATAGGGAGAAAAGGTAAACAAATAACTGATGGCACAATTTTTCAAAATCAATATAGTCTCATTTCCGAGATAAAAGTCTACTCCGTACCGCAATGATCGTAGATTTCTCGTTTTAAAGCGAAATGGACTTGCTGTCTTTCTGAGTTAGGCATTTACTGACTAGGAGACTGGTAAAAAAAGAGACAACTAATATGAGCGCTGATCGAAAAGCTTCAGGCTCTAATTGGTATCATGAGCTTCATTTAATTCTTTATATTCACCATTTTATTCAAAAATTCATTTTTTTTCTTTCCGCAAATTTGATAAAATAAGTGAAAGTACAGCACCCGCAAAAGTTAGTTGCACTGTTCAAGTAGGTTAAATTTGCATAGAAAGAGGTTACATTAATCGGTTGACCGAGAAGTGACCTATGTTAGGGGGTGGGTGGCTCAGTGGAAAGAGTGATGGAGACTTGAACATGGAATGGCCCGGGTTCAAGACTGAGCTGAGCGCCGATTTTTTTTTTTTTTTGTTGTTTTTTTTGGGGGGGGTATTAGGCATAATCCTCTAACTGGTATAGTCCCTCCGAAAAAACTTCGAACCTTAGCTTTCCTGGAAATTACGTAAATCAGCACCGTTGATCAAAATAAAGTATCATCACTTTGTGTGTATCATAAGCCATTAATCATTTAGTTTGATAATAGAAAATGAATGATGGGAGGTTTAAATCAAAGTTCCTTTTGCAGCCCTCCTTGATCAAATAATTACGTCAAAACTTGAAATGTGAAGATTAGCTTCATGCCTTGAAAATATTACCCATGCAATCTTATTTTAAATCTCACTTTAAATCTCACTACATTTTTTCAGAAAGGCCAAGGATTTTGATCAATAAAAAAAAAGCCAAAACTAAAGCATTAACTGACACTTGCATGTGATTGACACGTTACTCTCTGAATTCACCCCCCCCCCCCCTCAAAAAGGGGGAGAAAGAAGACAAACGACATTATGGCTGACACCGTGAATCACTCCAGTCAGTTTAGCACAGAAATATATCACCTCCATAGGTTGCTACACTTTACATTATGAAATCATATCATCCCCGGACCGCTTTCCGAGGGTTCGTCTCGCCTTTCGATAATTTCATCAAGCATAACAGATCGAGTAACTAATCGATGTGGTTTTATCGATTTCGGCTTAAATCTCCTGGTTACAATATCTCGGCTAAAAGATGAGCTGGCTCTGACTAATCACGACTCTTCATAGTAACGGGGATGCGTTTCTTGTCATGTCTTGTTCATCCCGGGTTAAAGATTAAATCCGCAGAACCATGGACAAGTGGCTGTTTTGTTGTTTGGACTTTGGAGGGGGTGAGAAATCTCTTAAATCAACAAATAAGTTTGGTAATACATCTATGTCAGACCCTGTTTATTAAGGTATATTCTATATTTTTGAGTAAACCTATTTTCTATTTTTGAGTAAGCTTATATTACTTTAAATTGTTGAACCCCTATTTAAAGTGTACCTTTAAACTATGTTTTTATTAAGATCACCTCTTTGGTATATGCTACTGGTGAAACAAAGAGATGGGAACAAAGATACCCCTGTCCTATAGGCCTTGTTTATGTCAAAACCCAGACCACTTCCCTAATGCGTAGAGTACATAAACAATGAATGACCAGTGGATACATTTACTGGTACTCCCTTTGTCTTGGGGATAGGGAATAGTGGGGTTGTTTGCCTGGTTTGGAAGAAAGATTGGCTTTCTCGTTGAGAGCAAGTTTAGACTTCAAGGCAGATAGACGTGTGATGTAACTTCCCCCAGAAGTTACTATGTCGCAGCTTTTTAAGACCTGCCTTGATTTTGTTTCTTAACAGGTAAGCGAACACTCACCTTCCTAAAAGTATATTCATGTTCTATTCTAGTAAATTATAGAGATATCACAAGTTCCTAATGCAATTTGAATTAATTGTATGATATTGTTTAGTGTGATTCTCCTTACGTTGGAAAACCCATTGTTATATTTTCATGTGTTTGTCCCTTAACTTTTGATACAAGATGGTTGTGACTGTGTATGAATTAAGATACCTCTTTCAAAAAGCCATACCTATTTATAGATATTTTAGTCATTGTAAAATACTTTTGATTAGATAGTTTAGTGATAGCCCAATAACTACTTGTAAGACGATAAATACTCTTGTTGAATTACTGTGTTCCATATAAAGAAGAATTATTATTAATTAAGTAGGAGAGCAAGTTTAGACTTCAAGGCAGATAGACGTGTGATGTAACTTCCCCCAGAAGTTACTATGTCGCAGCTTTTTAAGACCTGCCTTGATTTTGTTTCTTAACAGAGTTCCACCATGGTTCCACCATGGTTCCACTTCCATTTCCCTCGGGACAAGAGTTGGGACTGCTGTCGTTGTTCAGACAACGCTCTTCGCCTGATCGATGTATTTAGTGCTTACTGACGAACGACTCGTGTTTTATCATTTGTACTTTATATGAACATCTATTCTTTTCTTCTATTCATTGATATTTTTCTACTGTATAGTGTAGTTTACTTTGCTCCTTTTCTATCATTTATTGTACCTGTACGATACATTGTTAAGCTTTGCATGTAGCTGTTTTTGTAAGAATTGTTTGTTTGAAATCGAAATGCCAGTTGTCACACTGGGAATTTATTATCGGTGTACCTTTGACACTGAATATTAATAAATACCTCTTTGGAATTATCATTGGCACAAAATATATGTTTCAGACTTATGTATTTTAATGGATCTCCGTGTTTACTAATCTTAATTAATTGAACCGGCGCAGGCATAGGAAGCCTGTGTAACAAATGGAGGCACTGCCCGGATGTTAAATTTTCTTGGAAAATATTAGTTGTTTTTCCCAAAAGGAAAATACCTTTTTCATTGCTTTTAATTAAGTATCTCTCCTTGCTTAGAAGATCGAGATTAACAATATTCTGTGTATAATAGTTGTTGTTGATTGCCACAACTTGTAAAACACTAAGTTGGACATAGCGTATATTTGAAAGTGGTCTTAATAATTTGAAGTGTGACCTAATCAATTTTTGTTGCTGTTGTTCAGGTCAAATCAGTAGCAGCCCTACTACTGACAGGCGTAACAGTAAACAAGGGGTAGCTTGTCCAGCTTAGTTGTTACTGTGGTTTCTATTTTACTATATCAATATTTTCATCATTGATTATTTTTGTTTTCTATATAATAATTAGCACGTTCTAGAATCCTGATTGGTGTTATAAATAGTATATTTAGGCACCTTAATATTTTAAACTATTTTGTTAACCCTGTTTTTGAATAGTTTAGCTTTATAATCTTTTTAAAAAATGTCTGACTCTAATCCTAAGTTTAAGGCAGAGCTATTGGAGTTTCTGGCCGAACAGGTGGCCAAAGATAAACCTAAGAAGAGTTCCATAAGGCGATCTGCAATTATGAGTTTGCAGATGACGCCATCTCATCAGGCCACATCTGATAAATCTCCAGCCGCACTAGTAGTGGGTACCCAATTCACTGTCTGGGCTGAGGTTGACGGAGTGTGTGCCCTATGAGTGCCTTATGGACACTAGGTCGATCCCAAGTGATATGCATATCTGCTTATTGTTATCACAAAAAGTTAGCGCACCGTCACTTGGAATCCATGACGACCTGTTCGTGTTTGGTGCAGGTGGAATCAGAAGTTCCATACATCATCGAGGCCCATCTGCATTTTCACACTGACAATTAGGTTTGCGTTCAGTCAGAGATGACAACGCTGGCACTGGTTATTTTTATTTTACAAGTTTTTCACAAGTACTAGCACCAAACCAATGATATCCTTCATTGCCACCACCTTTCGGGTGAAGCTCATTCTACCCAAGAATGAAGCATAGTGGCAGGAGGAATCATTTGGCTGGATGCGGTGTTTGACCGAAGAGGTGTACCCAATGTTGAGGTCATCTACAGAGAATTACATCTTGCCATCTAGGTAGGAAAGTATGAGATTGGTTAATCTCTCTCTGTCCTCTGAAGTCTGCGGAAATTTATTATTGTATTAACTTGTAATTAAAGATGTCGGGACGCCATGATTCTAGGAGGGGAGAGTGTCAGACCCTGTTTATTAAGGTATATTCTATATTTTTGAGTAAACCTATTTTCTATTTTTGAGTAAGCTTATATTACTTTAAATTGTTGAACCCCTATTTAAAGTGTACCTTTAAACTATGTTTTTATTAAGATCACCTCTTTGGTATATGCTACTGGTGAAACAAAGAGATGGGAACAAAGATACCCCTGTCCTATAGGCCTTGTTTATGTCAAAACCCAGACCACTTCCCTAATGCGTAGAGTACATAAACAATGAATGACCAGTGGATACATTTACTGGTACTCCCTTTGTCTTGGGGATAGGGAATAGTGGGGTTGTTTGCCTGGTTTGGAAGAAAGATTGGCTTTCTCGTTGAGAGCAAGTTTAGACTTCAAGGCAGATAGACGTGTGATGTAACTTCCCCCAGAAGTTACTATGTCGCAGCTTTTTAAGACCTGCCTTGATTTTGTTTCTTAACAGGTAAGCGAACACTCACCTTCCTAAAAGTATATTCATGTTCTATTCTAGTAAATTATAGAGATATCACAAGTTCCTAATGCAATTTGAATTAATTGTATGATATTGTTTAGTGTGATTCTCCTTACGTTGGAAAACCCATTGTTATATTTTCATGTGTTTGTCCCTTAACTTTTGATACAAGATGGTTGTGACTGTGTATGAATTAAGATACCACTTTCCACAAGCCAGACCTATTTATAGATATTTTAGTCATTGTAAAATACTTTTGATTAGATAGTTTAGTGATAGCCCAATAACTACTTGTAAGACGATAAATACTCTTGTTGAATTACTGTGTTCCATATAAAGAAGAATTATTATTAATTAAGTAGGAGAGCAAGTTTAGACTTCAAGGCAGATAGACGTGTGATGTAACTTCCCCCAGAAGTTACTATGTCGCAGCTTTTTAAGACCTGCCTTGATTTTGTTTCTTAACAGAGTTCCACCATGGTTCCACCATGGTTCCACTTCCATTTCCCTCGGGACAAGAGTTGGGACTGCTGTCGTTGTTCAGACAACGCTCTTCGCCTGATCGATGTATTTAGTGCTTACTGACGAACGACTCGTGTTTTATCATTTGTACTTTATATGAACATCTATTCTTTTCTTCTATTCATTGATATTTTTCTACTGTATAGTGTAGTTTACTTTGCTCCTTTTCTATCATTTATTGTACCTGTACGATACATTGTTAAGCTTTGCATGTAGCTGTTTTTGTAAGAATTGTTTGTTTGAAATCGAAATGCCAGTTGTCACACTGGGAATTTATTATCGGTGTACCTTTGACACTGAATATTAATAAATACCTCTTTGGAATTATCATTGGCACAAAATATATGTTTCAGACTTATGTATTTTAATGGATCTCCGTGTTTACTAATCTTAATTAATTGAACCGGCGCAGGCATAGGAAGCCTGTGTAACATCTATAAAAGCAAAATTGTTTAATAGATTCTATGATTATACATGTGTAGATGTGCTCCTGTATTCTATCTTCTCTTCCGAAACAAAAACAAAACACCACACAACTGTCTTGATCGTGGTCTAAATCCCGGGTCTAACTCTTCTGTTGATTCACCTTGCTTTTAGAATTCATTGTCAAATCTTCATTCTTGACTATATGTATTTCAAGTAATTGGTGATTTATCATTATAAACATCACAGGCGTTTCTGTTATCATTGCGACCATTATGATAACATTATAATGGCGCCAAACTAGTGATGAATTTCTTCATTACTCTTCCTTTGTTTCACGATTTAATGCACATAAATGGTCCTTTAATTTTTGAATTGATTCTTTAAAAAACAGAACTATTACCACCAATAAACACTAAATGAACATTTCTCATTAAACTTCCGATGATTTTAATTACAAATTTGCATTATTCAGAGTGGAATGCCGCAAGGTTTCAAAGAACTCCGTCGCTTTTACCGTTTGCAAAACGAAACGGCGCGTGCCACAGAGTTCTCTAACCCGATCAAATATTCCTAAAACTTATACAAATTCGTGATTTCTAAATTAAGAATTTAGTTTCAATGATTGTCGGAAAGAAATGGCAATGCATTGCGAAGATCTAGAGCATGAAATTATAACGACGGCATGGCACAATACGCAATAGAGGATTCCATCTTTAATAATAGGTCTACATCTTCGTAAGAAAGTAGGCTAAACGAGGCTAGTCGCGCCTCTCCCCGCGTTAGGTTGGGAAAGACGGATGGAGAGTGAGAATAAGAGAAGGCGGGGAAGGGAGGCGGGGAGAGGGGTCGAGGTGTCATACGCACTGCCCGTGAGCCTTGGGCTACCTCCTCTCCTCTTACTCCGGCTGTCCATTAAAGCTTTCGCTAGATATGAGTGTTCATCGACCGGGCGTAAACGGCCTACTGCACACGCGTATACACACACAGCGCCCTGGCCGATCGCGCCCGTGAATGTGTGCGCGACATCGCTCAGCCTCGTTCGCTATCACTCGGCCTCGGGTTATCACCGTAATCACCATCAGTCGTATTCACTGTCAAACCAACCCACACGTGCGCATGCGCCGACTTACATATAGGATGATGTCATTATTAGCCTCGATAACCCCCAGACACAAAAAAGGGTTCTTACAAAAGAGACTGATATTGTTATATTGAGCATTACGAACACTTTTTTAATAACTATACATTTATTTCATCGTTCATTTATATTTCATTTGATAATTTCTTCTTTTATTCATCTAGGCCTATTAATGTTATTTGTTTGTCAACTTGTGTTTTAATATACAGTAACAAAAAGGTAAGGTTATTAAATAGGTTCAAAAATGTAGCCAATGAGAAGCGTCAAAATTGATCACATGTGCTTCCATTAAGTTTTACTATGCACGCAGTGAGTGCCGTTTGGTGATAAAAAACGTCAATTTTTCGACTTTATACTTATATTGTAGACCCATCTTATACAAAAAATAATATATTTCTTAATCACGTGCATTAGTGATATGCACTGCACTTGGTTAAATCACAATGAGACAGACAATGAACTCGACAAGTCTCTTTTATAATCATACTGTGACTTAACAAGCGTGCAATGCATATCACATATGGTTGATGAGGAGCAGAAGATGAAGCGGTGATACGTAGTATGATATGTGTAGGTATAATTAACTAAAATGTAGTTGCATGCTTTTGAAAGATAGTTCTAAACTATAACAAAATCGTTATTTTCGTGTATTAACAGCTAATTGAATAACATGTAAAATCCGTGCTTTTGTTTAAGATGCATTCACGTCATCTCCTTCGAGAAAGAAGCATGTCGTCCGCTCTTCTCTTTAATTTTTCTAAGACGTCCGCCACCGTCAAATTATGTTTGTTATATTTTTTTCAAATCCATTCACAACTGATACCTATATAAGCTTATTCAATTATTTCGCAACCCTCTGTTTAACATAGTCCGCTTTATAATGGAACCTCAAATGTCAGTCTTACCACTTTGTATTTATGTGGTCAATGTAGCTCTGTAAACGAACTCTTAAAAAATAGTAATGAATTGAAATGATATGCTATCAATAGAAAAAAGTCATGAATATTGACACATACATTTTATTTTTCAGACCTGGCCTAAAGTTGGTTCTTTTCGAGGATAACCACCGATGAGTCCTAATCCACTACTGAGGGCTTATTTCAATTACGCCTTGTAACATGGCGGTAGGAGGCTTGTAGATGATGTAAGCTGAATCAATGTAACATTATCTCTGAATGTATTGAGAGCCCAAGACAAGGATCACGTGATATAGTTTAAGGAATTAAAAGGCGGGAAGAAGGAGAGAGTGGGGAAGGGGAAGGGGCGGTGTGGGGAGGGCATTACCGAAGGGCTCATCTGCAGCTCGGGTATAGGGGTACGCACTTATTTAAATCCGTGGTTAGCGCGTAAACTTGTCAGAAACACCCATCGTACAAGCGACTGGAAATCGTTAATCGGTGTAATTGAATAATTGAACACGTTTTTGTTTTCACAGAAGAGCGGTGAGGTGCGGAGAGAGCGGCCTGAAAGCCTTGGGTGATCCCAAGCCCGAGACACGGGAGCGATGTCCGAGTTCCTCTCCGGGTAATGTGTGAATCATGGAGTTAAAGATTTCCTCAGAGAGAGGGTTCCGAGACGTTCTTGAAATATAGAACGACAGAATGGAGGATTGACGAAAAATAAGTGACTTAGATAGGAAAATAAAAGGAAAGACTGTAGCAAGACTTTCGAAAATTCAATTCAAGGGCTGTTTCAATACCCTCTTTTGTATTCCATGGAAATCATGTTCGGTTTATGTCATTGCAATGTTCGCACAATTCAAAAGGTGATAGACAGTGCTTTTTAAATTGCCCTGGGTTGATTTTTCGAAAAGCTATGCGATCGTGTTAGTAGTAGCAGTAGTAGTAGTAGTAGTAGTAGAAGTAGTAGTAGTAGTAGTAGTAGTAGTTGTAGTAGTAGTAGTAGTAGTAGTAGTAGTAGTAGTTGTAGTAGTAGTAGTAGTAGTAGTAGTAGGAGTAGTAGTAAAAGTAGTAGTAGTAGTAGTAGTAGTAGTAGTAGTAGTAGTAAAAGTAGTAGTAGTAGTAGTAGTAGTAGTAGTAGTAGTAGTAGTAGTAGTAATAGTAGTAGTAGTAATAGCAGTAGTAGTAGTAGTAGTAGTAGTAGTAGTAGTAGTATAGTAGTAGTAGTAGTAGTAGTAGTAGTAGTAGTAGTAGTAGTAGTAGTAGAAAAATAGAATAGAAGTAAAGGTAGAACTAATAAAAGTAAGTTTTATCAGATATGTTTGTACATACACAAACTACACTCATCGTGACACAGAAAGGATTTGTGCGTCAGAGAGAGAGAGAGGGGGGGGAATGTTGAATCATCTTGAAATGTGTCTGATTAAATACCTCATCATTGTAGTGCTGTATGTGATTGAAAGAAGATATTCTGTCCTAGTTGCTATTCCTCCCCTTCTGCCCCTCTCGAGAAGTTTTACAATCATTTTTAGGCATCCCTCCAGTCATCTTCAGCAATAGGTAGCGATCATGTAGCACGCGCGTTCTACAATGACAGCGCACAATCAATAGCCGCCATTAGGTTTCATAGGCCGACGCGCGCGTGCACAGCTCAGCTTAAGGCCATACAGGACAGCTGGAAACCGAACATACTCCGATCAAATTTTTATAGGCAGCGAGAAGTTGTCAGCTATTTGATCAATAACTCGTGATATTTACGATATTGCCCTGCGAAAAGAACTTTATTGGGATGTCCAAATTTTCCGATGCTGTCAAGTAACTCGTAGCAAGTGTCAATTGAGAGACCACTGCAATAAGAGACAGGAAATGTGTTTCTCGTGCTGCGACAAAATCAATTTCGTCTGCAGTGGGCTAGAGTCAGTATTATTTCAAGCGAATGATGTTGATTTAGAGGACTGTGTAGAAAATAGACTTTTATTGGAAGGAAAACTTGAGTATCAAACTCATAATGGTAATTGCACTAGGGGGCAACTGCACTTGTCTTATCAACTACACGGCTGCATTATTTTTCTTTTCACCCTTAGCTAGTCAGCGCTAGTATGACATCACGCGCAATCCAAATGATACACTTGTGACATTAACCGAATAAGCAGAATCGTTATGACTCCTTATTCACGAGCCAGTTTACGGACACATAAAGACTGCCTAACAGTGAATTAAGAAGACACTATTCCTCACAGGAAATTACATATTCTTGATATTAGAGTTTGCATTTAACAAATAAGTAGAGAGTCTGACTGTGTCTAAGCATTGAAATTCGGAGTCAATGAGGAATTAGGTGACGCCTCGTCACCGAATAAACATTCAAAATTACATCGTCAGTTCTTGTCTATATACAAAGATTATCTTGCGAAATTGAATAACCCTAAATTGTAGATTCATGTTTCATTTCCACTGAAGGAAACACTTCGAGGAAACTTCATACAATTGTCACCACCGGTACTTATATAGCCTTGCTTTTCATCACCTTCTGGACTAACTTTCAAGCAAGGAATTTAAAAATATATATTTTGTAAAAATTCATCTACCCTATTCGAGGTTAACTTGAACTGTGACATGCATCGATTACTGCATATACTATACACTCATCATCGGTTAATGATTGTCACATGATCACATCATTATGACGTCATACTATCAAGCCCTCATCGTACTGACCTACATTCTAAATATTGATATTTCTAATATTTCTGTTTACAACTATAGGACATTTATAATATTGAACTCATTGTTCGATAGTGAATCAATATTCCAAAGAGTGCAAGTGTGTCTTTCATGCTTGAGATCACGAAAGAGTACAACATACCAGGATATTGCT